CGGCCGCCAAGCTGGCCCTGAGGAAGCAGCTGGAGAAGACCCTGCTGGAGATCCCCCCGCCCAAACCCCCCGCCCCGCTCCTGCACTTCCTGCCCAGCGCCGCCAACTCCGAGTTCATCTACATGGTGGGGCTGGAGGAGGTGGTGCAGAGCGTCATCGACAGCCAGGGTGAGGAGTTACCCCAAAAAAACCAGGGGTTTGGGGGGGTTCAGGGTGAAATGGGGGGGGTTTGGGGCTGGAGGAGGTGGTGCAGAGCATCATCAACAGCCAGGGTGAGGAGTTACCCCAAAAAAAACAGGGGTTTGGGGAGGTTCAGGGTGAAATGAGGGGGTTTTGAGCCCGGATTTGGGGCTGCTCACACCCCTTTGGGGGTGGGGCATCGACAGCCAGGGTGAGTGGTTTTCTCCAGGGATTTACCCAAAAAACAACCAGGACTTTGGGGTGAAATGGGGTAGATTTGGGGCTGCTCACACCCCTTTGCTCAGTGGGACTGGAGGAGGGGGCACAGTCGAGGTGGGTGTTCCCCCCCCCCCATGGGAATTTCCTGGGAAAACAGGCGATTTGGGAAAAGCTGGGGAAGGGAGGGGAGGGGTGTGCAGCACAATCAGGGGGGGTTGTAGGCTGGAATTTCCGGATCCTGGGATGGCTGGGGGGGATTTCAGGTGAAACTTGTGGGATTTCAGGACGGAATCGTTGGGGTCAGGGGGTGGGTGTGATTGGGGGGCTCCGTGTGGAGCCATCGGTGCTGCCCCAGCGATAACCTGGCAGGGGGTTATCCCGTTATCCCATTATCCCTGTGATTCCAGGGAAGAGCTGCCTGGTGTCCCTGTGCATGTTCAGGCAGGGGGTTATCCCGTTATCCCGTTATCCCATTATCCCTGTGATTCCAGGGAAGAGCTGCCTGGTGTCCCTGTGCATGTTCAGGCAGGGGGTTATCCTGTTATCCCAATATCCATGTATAATCCATTATGTGATTCCAGGGAAGAGCTGCCCGGTGTCCCTGTACATGTTCAGGCAGGGGGTTATTCCATTATCCCATTATCCCTGTATGATTCCAGGGAAGAGCTGCCCGGTGTCCCTGCGGGTGGAGCCCTTCGTGTGCGGGCAGGGGGTTATCCCATTATCCCATTATCCCTGTGATTCCAGGGAAGAGCTGCCCGGTGTCCCTGTGCATGTTCAGGCAGGGGGTTATCCCTGTGTCCCTGTATGATCCCATTATCCCTGTACCATTCCAGGGAAGAGCTGCCCGGTGTCCCTGCGGGTGGAGCCCTTCATGTGCAGGCAGGGGGTTATCCCATTATCCCGTTATCCCATTATCCATGTGATTCCAGGGAAGAGCTGCCCGGTGTCCCTGCGGGTGGAGCCCTTCATGTGCAGGCAGGGGGTTATCCCATTATCCCGTTATCCCATTATCCATGTGATTCCAGGGAAGAGCTGCCCGGTGTCCCTGCGGGTGGAGCCCTTCATGTGCAGGCAGGGGGTTATCCCATTATCCCGTTATCCCATTATCCATGTATCCATGATTCCAGGGAAGAGCTGCCCGGTGTCCCTGCGGGTGGAGCCCTTCGTGTGCGGGCAGGGGGTTATCCCTGTGTCCCTGTATCCCATTATCCCTCTATAATCCATTCTGTGATTCCAGGGAAGAGCTGCCCGGTGTCCCTGCGGGTGGAGCCCTTCGTGTGCGGGCAGTGCCGCACGGATTTCACGCCGCACTGGAAGCAGGAGAAGGGCGGGCGCATCCTGTGCGAGCAGTGCCAGACCAGCAACCAGAAGAAGGCGCTGAAGGCGGAGCACACGAACCGCCTCAAGAACGCCTTCGTCAAGGC